CTACAGTACATTGTTGGTTACTGTGATTATCTACAGTACATTGTTGGTTACTGTGATCTTCTACAGTACATTGTTGGTTCCTGTGATCTTCTACAGTACATTGTTGGTTACTGTGATGTTCTACAGTACATTGTTGGCTACTGTGATCTTCTAGTATATTGTTGGTTACTGTGATTATCTACAGTACATTGTTGGTTACTGTGATCATCTACAGTACATTGTTGGTTACTGTGATCATCTACAGTACATTGTTGGTTACTGTGATCATCTACAGTACATTGTTGGTTACTGTGATCATCTACAGTACATTGTTGGTTACTGTGATTTTATACAGTACATTGTTGGTTACTGTGATTTTATACAGTTGGGACGTTACTACTGCTATTTCTACAGTAACTCCAGAGTTGCTGTAATCTTTGGTTCGAAACACGGTATTATACTCTAAAATGGTATACAGTAATTTACTGTGCACAAACACTGTAAATAACTGTGGATTTCACAGCCATTTTTGACAGTGTGGCAGTGTGTTTCAATCCCGTCAGTGGTTCCTCATAAATAGCACTTTTTCCACGTAGACTATATTTCATTTTTTCCCTGCTATATGAATGGTCAGTGGTTTGGCTCCTGTGTGGAAACAGAATATGTTTTCATTGGTAATTGTTGCTGGATGTGATTTCTCGAAAAATGCCCACTACAGTCAGATCAAATATCAATTTATTGAAAGATGTTGAGTTGAGGCGTCTTAGTCAAAGCACATACAGTGTCTTTATTACAGACTCAGCTTTGGTCAAATAAATACTTCTTTAAGTTGTCTGTCATTCGAGGTTCAGTGTGGGCTCCGCTGCTGCCAATCTTCAATGTACTTCGGGCTTTTTCCTAGTAGCTGTAGTCAGGTTACTCGTCTCTGCCGTCTGGTTCTTGAGCATCTGCTCGATCTTCCAGTAGCTGCTCGTCTAAGCCTCTGATCTTGTTTCCAATGTATGGCCCGTTTCACATGAGCTGCAGGCTTATCAGGAGGATCTGACGGTTTCTACAGTTAGGATCTGCTGAGCATGTCTGAGAAACCCAAAAGTCCATTCATGTTTTAAGGATGATTTAGGGGAGAGTCTCTTTGTTTAGTGTTAGACCACCTTCACTGGTGCAGAAAGGCCACTTTGGCTTTTTTATTTTATTTTATTTTCCTGTCGCATATCTTGATCAGGAATTGGCATTTGTGTAATACGCTTATTTAGATGAGGATATTGATGCTACTCTTGTTCCTGTACAGTAAATATGTAAATGAGGCTAGTAGCCAATTAACTTAATTTAGAACAAAGTTTTAATAACATTTTAATCCTGGAGCTGGAGCTGGTTTGACAGTGTATTGCTACTGCCAAAAGGGACTTTACCATGGAAACAGCTATGTTAAGTGTTTTGTACTGGACAGTTGATATACCTTAGAAATACAGTATATATAGTTTATACCGTTTTCATTAGAACACGTCTTCCGAGCCCAAAGGCATCTCGTTAGAAGTTGTAAATCCACGGTTAGCCAATATGAGAATAGTTTTTATAGCCCAGTTCTCTGGTTCAGTTTTTACCAGCTGAGCTATGTATTACCTGATGGTTGCATAGCGTTACATGTTTACTTGGGGTCAAGAATATTATTATCAAATAGAGTGCGTAGTTCACCATAAGGAAGATTTATGTTTTCTTGATGTTAGTTTCATAAACATCTTGATTACTACATTTTATTTTTGAAAAATGGTGATCTTTATAATTTAAGCATGCATGCACAAATCTGGTTTTGTTTAACACACCATGTGACCTTTACCATTGCCCTGTGTGTCAGGTCATTGTACTTTTTCCAGCCTGAGGTTACAATAACTGTCAACTCTTCCTGTTGTAAACCGCACAGGCCGGGAGAAACCAGAGACCAGCAGCCACACCATCCACTGAGCTGTAAAAACGCTCTTTAGCTATACTGTTACACCCACTGGAATGTACTCTCAGCTACAGGGCAAAGTGTTGCAGCATACATTTTCTGCTTAGGATACACAGCAGAGAGACACACATACACACCCACCTTGTGCATTCACAGCAAATGATTTTGGAGCCTTCCCAATGGGCATTTAATGAGACTGCAGACAATGTTCAGAGGATGCTGGGAACTGGCGGTTTGTTGTTTTGTCTCCGTCTTCACATTGCTTAGCACAAAATGACTATTCTGCTGATTATAACATTATATTCCCATCAGAGTAAATTGGCTCACCGCTGTCTGGAGCGGAATAACTTCCATAGCAGCCATGTGTGAAAAAGAGGAACGTACACATAACACAAATACTTTAACACTCAAGTCTAGTGCGACAAAACATGGGGAAAACAGACAAAAATGACTTGTTAAACACTTGATAATGCTGTGTCTTTTTTTCATTTGCGTTCAAGAGCACATCCACAAGTTAGTGCATGATAAGTGTTTTGTCTGTCCCTACCCCTGACTTTCTCTCACCTACTTTCTCCACAGTATGTAACTGTGATCTGGCGAGATCCGGTTTCTTCCAGAAGAAGGGCGAGTACATCTGCACGGCAGACTATCAGCGTCTGTACGGCACACGCTGCGACCGCTGCAACAGCTTCATCACGGGAGAGGTGGTCTCCGCTCTGGGACGCACCTACCACCCCAAGTGCTTTGTCTGCAGTGTCTGCAGGTAAGCAAACACAAACAGAAACACACACAATGTCCTACTGTAAATACACAGTTACAGCAGTATATACGGATACAAACATTAGAGCAACATTTCGTTTTTCTGACGGCAAAAGGAAAGCACAAAGTCACAATGCTTTGATTAATTTCCTCAACTAGGGGCTAATGTGTTTAAGAAGTTTCCTCAAAGTGCTAACTTTAGTTTTTCAAACTTAACATTGCTATTCAGATGTACTCATTGCGTATGTATTTTTGAAGGAACCTTACTTTAAATATTTTGTTACTTTTACTTCACTGCCTATTCGCTAAAAAAATTAAACATATCTTGCAATATTTATTTAATTTGTTGCAAAATTAAAGTCTTACTCAAGTACATTTTTTTAAACTTTTGACTACACTACCATCATTTGACAGCTTTAGTTCCTAGCATATGCCTTTACAAAATGTTGATTTGTATGTAAAATCAAATCATAAATATTAATATAGCCCAATGTCACAAAGCACATTTGCCTCAGTGGGCTGTACATATCAACACACATCTATTACAGTGTTAAAATATATATATTTAAATGGCAAGATAGTATGTAAAATACAGATACAAATACATAAAGTGAGATAAAACACAATAAAAATAATACTATTAAATACTATAACATGTAGGAGCCAGGAGGAGAAACATAGGATAATCTGAAACCAGCTGTAACTAAGCTCTATTGAAAAGGATGGCCTTCAGCCTACTCTTAAATGTTTGGATAATGTCTGCCACCCTAATAAACACAGGAACCACTAGCAGACTGCACTCTGGGTGCGTAATGGAGGTGCAACAGGGCACAAATAGATATTTTAGGTATGATGGTGCCTGACCATTAGCTGCTTTGCACACATTACTTCTTCACATCTTTATTTGTACTGTTATGTATCTGTTCTGTCTTGTGATGAAACACAAAAGTTCTTATTCATTAGTGAAAGTAGCCTGGGGAGGACGGAGAACAGGAGATGATTGTTTAGCGAGTGGATAAGAAACGCATGACTGTTTTCTGCCTCAAGAAAATGCAACCCTTCCTCAAATGATGCTCCACAAGCAGCATCTTTCAAAATAAGAAACCCTAAATCGTTATAGTGCGTTCAATATTGCCATTCAGCTCATGGTTCGGTCTTAAGTCAGCTCCTGGATGTCAATACATGTCTGACTGCAAAGCTCAAGCTGTCTTGTCATTTTGCTTAGTAGAGACACGATTTCGGAAAAGAGAGCTGACCCGGTGTTTCACACTGTTAGATTTAGTAAAAGTAGGCCATCTCTCCTCTGACCTCCATCACTTTTCCTGTTAAGCTCCTCCTGAACGAAGTAAGAGGCAGCATCCCTGCTGGCTCCGCTCCTCGTTATATCTTATCATTTCACTCTTTTTGTCTCTCTTTCTCTTTCATGTTACATTTTTAAAAGTCCCTTAATCTCACTGTTTGCTTTGCTCTATTTTTCCTCCCTCCCCATCTGTTTCGATGTATTATGAGGTTTACATAAGGGCGATCTCCCCGACTTCCCTTAGTGTTGGTCTGTTGTCATTTGTCTAGTTGACATTGGCTGATAAACATGCCCAGCAGCCGTGGGCAAAAAAAGAAGTGACACCAACTGGCCGAAGACAGTCAGTGGAGCAGTCCTGGCAGGTGTGTGTGTGTGTGTGTGTGTGTGTGTGTGTGTGTGTGTGTGTGTGTGTGTGTGTGTGTGTGTGTGTGTGTGTGTGTGTGTGTGTGTGTGTGTGTGTGTGTGTTTGTGTGTGT